CACACGACATCGCCTGTCTCGACGTCTTGACTCACATTAGGACGGATGCCGAAATTTTAAATATCATCTTTTTAAATGGATTCTTTTACCGCACAAACAATTAAATATACACTTAATCTAAAAGTTGTTTACACCTAAGAACTGGCCTTTTTTTTCGTCACCGTGCTTTTGCTTCAAGCGTGCTACACACATAGGTACTGACATAAAGCCTGTATTGTTATTTTTGGATCTCATCATCGAAATTGTCCTAAGGACGTGGCCTAACTATGTGTGTGTTAAAAACCTGCCTTTATGTCAAACTTAACAGTGTCAAAAGTGGTTAAGGTGCTGCAAATTGTGGCCACTTTTCACAATTGGGGCACTACCCAGACAAGAGGTACGCAGGACGTCCATTTCGGATCCCACATATATCGGAAGTTTTGGGTACGTCCGGTCCCTTTGTCTTAGGTCCGGTCTCTTACTTATTTGGGAAAATTAAAGCGGATATACTCGGTACGTCCCAAGGACGTAATTTTTGTTTTTTTAGCAATTGAAGCATGGTATTTCCAAAGGGTCTATGTCTCAAGTTGGCTAAATAATATATTATCATTTAAAAATAGTTTGTGTCATGCAGAATGACTTAAAAAATATTCCAACATTTATATGTTCAATTTTATTTTTTACACTAAGACCCTTTGGGAATACCACTCTTCAATTCTGTAGAGCTTGTCCAATAATCCCCAATAAAGTATTTTAGAACGGCCAGAGAATGTCTTTCTTAGGACGTTCTGGGGACCGACGATTTGGTAACATCGGATGTCCCTGGTACGTCCTGGTGAAGGTTCAGGACCTGATTCGGACGTACTCAGGACTTACTAATGTCTGATACAAGATATACTCAGGACGTTTCCAGTACTTCTTTGTGCTATCTGGGTACACTTAAAGTGGATGACACCTTTTTTGACATTTTTTTCCTTTTAAACAAAACTTGTTTCTATAAGGTATACTATTTAAAATACGCTTGATTTTTTAATCATATTATTGGAGATCCATGCATATCGACCTCATTCTGTAAATCATGTTCAGGCTAATCCCTACAGCAAATTAAAGAAGATCTCTCTTTCTTCTCACAAGATTTAACAACTTAAGTCAGCTGATCAATAATAGACAGTTGCAAACATTTTGCGGAAAAAATATCTGGCAAGTCTTCAAAATTATACATTTTGGATGAAGACATGGGCCATTGGACGAATTTTCTTTATTTTTAGAGACTCGATATTTTTTTTTGTTTCTTTGGAGTTTTTCGAAATTATGCTTAAAAATATTCAAAGTAGACTTATCGTTATTTTTTCTAGATGTTGAGTGCGCTGGTGATGCTATGGTCCATGTTATGGTCGAACATATAATTAGGAAAATATTTGTTAAAACCGTTTGTACTTTATATTTGATATTTTTTAGAAAACAATCATAATTACATAATCTACCACGCCATCATCTGATAACATATTTTTAATAAATAGTCCGTATCTTGCTTTTTTTCTGATAAAAATTTCAGTAAAAGTGGAGGTGGTAATTTGCTAAATATTGTGTTTTATGTATAATTGTAATAAATATATTAAAATATACTCTAGATCCACTATACAGATAGAGAATTATTTTCTGTTAAATTGTTTATTAAATAATAAGCCTGTATGGATGTAGACGGCATGTGGTTCTAGCAGGATTGAGCAACTTGCCAGTCAAACTTGACAGTGTCAAAAATGGTTTCATCTACTTAAGTTGCTGCCCAAATTGTGGCCAGTTTTCACAATTGGGGCACTACACTTAAAGTGGAGGAAACCTTTTTTAACATTAGTAAACTTTTTTCCTACTCTTTAAAATACGCTTGATTTTTCATTATATTATTGGAGATCCATGCATATCAAGCTCATTCAGTTAACAGCAAATTAAAAAAGATCTCTCTATAAAGAGGATGTATACATCCTCACAAGATTTAACAACTTAAGTCAGCTGATCATTAATGGACAGTGTTGCCAGATTAGATGCAAAATAATTTGTATAATTCGGTATCAAAAGTGTTTAAAAAACCTCTGTTAAATCATATTATGCAAATCAGTACGCCTGGAATAAAAAAAAAAATGAGAAAAAAGTAGTCTTGAAAATTATACATTTTGGATGAAGACATGGGGTCATTGGACGAATTCTCTCTATTTTTGCAGACTTAATATTTTTTCTTTGTTTCTTTGAAGTTTTACGAAATTATGCATAAAATGTTGTAACGTTTTTACTGTTCGCAGTGTTCGCACTGGGATATTAACGAACTAAACGATTTATTTTATAACTTAATTACTCTTAAAACACTATAAAACTAAATAAACACTTAACTTATAATTATTTCTATATCACTACTGTACAAGAAACTATTTATTTGCACTTATATTTTATTTATTTCTTCGCGAGTACCAAAGCTCAACTAGCTGCTCCATGCTGCGCTGTTCCTTATATATTCAGTGCCTACGTGACACCAGTCACGCAATCGCCTTCCCGAATATTCCAGCGAGCTCCGGACCGCTCTCGATCATTCGAGCGCTGACTCACCGGCGATGAGTCATCATTCTGAGATCCAGAGGGGTACTCGCTACAATATATTCAAATTAGGCTTGTGGATATTTTTTTAGAAGTAGAGTGCCCTGGTGAAGCTATGGTCGAACATATAATAAGTAAAATATTTTTTAAAAACGTTTGTACTATATATTTAATACTTTTTGAAAAACAATCACAATCATTATCAATGCGCCATCATCTAATAACATCTTTTTAATAAATACTTTGTATCTTGCATCTTTTCCGATAAAAATTTCAGCAAAAGAGTCGAGATGGTAATTTACTATTGACTATAATAAAAAGTTAAACTTTTAAGTTCTTTATAAAAACATCCTCTAGGTCCACTATACAGATAGATATATATTTTATGTTTAATTGTTTATTGAATAATAAGCTTGTTTTGGGTTGGCAAAATCCTTTTAATCATCATTTTTGTAAACCGTCCCAACGTGAGCCCGCCAGCATGCATGTCTGCCTGTCGGCCGGATTGCTCATACATATCTCATTTAATATGACAGCCAGTGACGTCGCGTCGATAACTACTCTGCATCATGCTCTTGGTGTCAGATATTAGTCGAGGTATGCCAGCTCTTCTCTATTATCACCCGCCACCATGCTCCCCGCCCCGCCGCATTTATATAAATTCTGCAGATTTTTATTTTGCTGACATTACGTGACGCTGATATTTTACCGTAATTTAACGTTTTATGATGTATATCTCTTGGCGTTTATACCGCGATAAAATAAATTTTTGTTTTGCCTAATTTAACATTTCTTTTAAGTAGTACCTAACAACAATATTTAAAAATCCTTTTTAAATGTCTTGTAACTAAATTAGAACATTGATTGTCCCAATCTTACGATGATTGTGTGTTAGGAAACAAATAAAAAACTTATCATACGGTATTTTTTTCTTCTAAAATTGTTTATCCATAAAATAATAAAATAGCGAGCGATTAAGAGAGAGATAGAGAGATACACAAAATACTCTTAAGTCCGTATCTGGATCTACTTTGCATTTAACTTTCGGCGTCTTAAATGCAAAAGTTAAGTGCACATAAATAACACTTCCAATTCCAAAAGATGCATTGTGCATTTAACCGTCCTAGTAAAATTCAATACAAAATTGATCCAATCGAGATTCTTTATGAGCCATTCCTTTTTTAAAGCGCTGCGCGTCAATAATGGAATTGGAATAAGAAAAAACCGTCCGCATCCACTTCACTCTTTTCGAAATACAGAAACGTTTAAATTTTATATTTTTACTTTCAGTTTAAAGTGCCTACGTTTTATGGCTGAAATCAGAAATACAGACGGTTTTTTGTTCAGAATTTTACGGACTAAGTTATGTTACAATAGGAAATCTCTTAGTTTTTTACAAAGATTTTTATGTTTTATTTTTTTAATAATTAATGACAAATGGTTTTATTAATGCTTTCTACTTCCACCACCTTTAAAGCCCATTATCGTACATGTTTCCTGACCCTAAGTGATCTTCGAAATACTAACCAGATGTTACTTTATAGCGTAATAGTCACGAGGTGAAGTTGGCTTTAAGTTGGTTGGCAGTTGTCAAATGTCATACAATCATAAAAATAAAGTGTCCTTCTTGTGAAATACTTTAAAGTGGAAATTATTTTATCTTAATTTAAAAATTCAAAATTATTAAATAGTTTATTGACGTCAATATTTAAAAAGTTTATGTACGTTTGTACCGACCTTTTGATTTTGCTGGCAGCACACTAGTAAACTAGCAAACTGCCGATAGAGCATTAATACTTTTGGGTAAAGTACCTATAAAAACTCCTCTTCACTTTAACTGTGAGAAACTGCTTATACATGGTGTCCCAAAAGTCGCGCACCACCTTAAAGGTGTATGATCTGGGGAGCTCAAGGAATCACAAAAAAATGTCAACCAAATCAACCTTTGTTATTAAAAAAAACAGGGATTACATATTTTTCTTAATGACACCATTGCGTACTACTAAAGTTGTAGTTTAATTTTTTATGAGCATGATCAAAAACAACAATATTAAAAATGTTCAAATTCGTTACTTTTATTTGAGTACATTAGATGCACAACTATGTATTTACAGGTTAAGTGATTTTAAGAAAAACACGAAAAACCGCTCATAAGGTCATTTAAAAAAAAAAATGCAAAAATTGTATAGACGTGCGTTTGCATAATTTCTTATTCAAAAAAATAAAAAAAAAATCCTTTAATCCTTTAAATTTAAGCCTAAATAATGTACGTTTTATTTAATGTGTTTACATCCTTACATGAATTCAATAGGGCGCCCATAAATTCGAATACAAAACGATCTCGCACGAATAAATATTTTAGGTAAACTGCGAGCCACATAAAGCAGTTTTTTGGTGCGAGAGGCCATAAAAACATTAAAAAACAATTCACTTACCTGTGAACCACCCCCAAGTTATGCATATGAGATAAGGCCGACGCGAACTGTCTGGCATATATTCTGGTCGCCCTCTCTTCCAGTTTTCCATTACGCTGAGATTTGATGAATGTGCAAAGGTCGCCTCCAGACACCAGCTCCGTAACCAGATAGTATACATTATCCGATCGCTGAAAAATAATTAATTTTTTATGTATTGCAGAATAATTCATAAAAGTTTTTCGACTGGACATTAATATTTATAAAGGGCGGTGCTGGTTTTGTTTTAATTGAGTTTAATTAAAAAAGAATAAACATCATGGAAACTGCTGGGTGGCTTTTAAAGTAATGAAGCGCAAAGTAAATATCGGACACATTGGAAAAATAACACTGGTTTACAAATTAATAAAAAAATATGCATTGGGTACCACTATTTATTTATTTATTACTGAAGTTTTTTTGATTACCTACAATTTTAAAGACTTTTATAATACCATTTTTCAATTTAGAGCTTCATGTTAGAAATACAGGGCGACAAAGTTTGAAATTTAAAACCGATTTTTTTAATAATTCGAGTAATTGATAAGATATTAAGTTCAAATTCGGTAAACTTCTTTATCATAAATAGTTACATCTTCTGAGGACAACAAAACAAAAAACAATTGTCAAATAAACAAAATAGGGTGGGTGCAGTACTCACTGACTCCCCTTATTTTTTAGTACGTGCGCCAATGACTTCCAAACTTTATTTTTTCAAGTAATGATTTATTGGTGATTATTTTTTGTCTTTTATAAAATTTTGATAAAATGATTTGTTTTAGACATAATGTGTAAAGTATTGGTCCTTGATTGATGCGGCTTAAGGCAATCTCATAATTTTCAAATACTCTAAATCAAGTGAGCCGCTGTGGCATTATCATTGATACAATTAAGTAAAATTTTGCAATAGGTGACAATACCAAAAACTAGCCAAAAATAACCCAATTTTAGTGACGCACAGATAAAAATAATACTAAACCAGAAAAATTAAATTAATTTATAAATAACTAATTTTCTTTACAAACAGTAAAACGCCACTATTATCACTTTTCAAGCATTATAACAAGATAATCATTACCATAGTAACCAAAACAAAATATATTTTTTTGAATACACAGCCCTCTTTATTAAAGAAAATCTTAGCCTACGAAAAATATTTGGCTTTAACCTGAACTCCTCTCCTACTTGAAGGATTCTTTCTCTTAAATGATTTTCGCTCAAAATCGGGACCATATACAAAAAATCTATCATACATCTCCAGACCGAATAGTCCAAGGGGGTAAGGTCTGGGGAACAGGGTGGAAATTTAGCAGGAGCATATTTACCCCGACCAATCCATTGATTTCTAGCAAAATGCGGAGGAGCACCGTCTAGTTGAAACCAAATATTTTGTCTTACCAGTAGAGGCAAATCATCAAGTAAATCGGGCTGTGTATTTTGAAGAAATATCAAAAATGAATGACCAGTCAAATTTCCTGGTAAAATTACAGGAAGTAAAAGAACGACACCTGCCCACACATTGACTTTAAAATTTACTTGATGATGCGTCTCTACTGGCTCAAAATTTCTTAAGTGTGCCACTTAAAAATTGATGGTCTCATTTTTCATCGGTTTCCAATCGGTTTAGGGGTAAAAACAAAAAAAAAAAAAAAAAAACTTTCCTAAAATAGTTTTGCAAAAAATTACAATACTTTTTGTGGATGTTTTTTTTTTAAATTAATAACTCCTGAACGGTTCATCAAAACTTAACATTTTTTGTATCAAAATTTTTGTTGAAAAATATACTTTACGATACATTTGTTGTTAGGGGGAAACCTTAAAAAAATTAAGATATTTTTTTTAAACAATTTAAAATTAATAAAACTTCTCCGACTGCAAGGAAATTTGTTCACATCGCTTGTTATAATGCTTCAAATTTATTTAAAAAGTGATAGTAAATTATTGACTTGCGCTAGCGATAATAGTGGCGTTTTACTGTTATGTAAAGAAAATTAGTAATTATTGTTTAAGTTCTTCCTAGGGCAATAAAATTAATTTAATTTTTCTGGTTTAGTATTATTTTTATCTGTGCGTCACTGAAATTGTGTTATTTTTGGCTAGTTTTTGGTATTGTTACCAATTGCAAAATTTTACTTAATTGTATCAATGATAATGCCACAGCGGCTCACTTGATTTAGAGTATTTGAAAATTATGAGATTGCCTTAAGCCGCGTAGGCATCAATCAAGGACCAATACTTTACACAGTATCTCTAAAACAAATCATTTTATCAAAATTTTATAAGACAAAAAATAATCACCAATAAATGAATATTTAAAAAAATAAAGTTTGGAAGTCATTGGCGCACGTACTAAAAATAGGGGGAGTCAGTGAGTACTGGGCCCCCCCTATTTTGATTATTTGACAATTGTTTTTTGTTTTGTTATCCTAAAAAGATGTAACTATTTATTTTAAAGAAGTGTGCCGAATTTGAACTTATTATCTTATCAATTACTCGAATTATTAAAAAAAAAATCAGTTTTAAATTACAAACTTTGTCGCCCTGTATATCGAACATGAAGCTCTAAACTGAAAAATGGTATTATGAAAGTCTTATTGTTTTAACTCAAAGAATATATGGTTAACGGATTGACTTCCTTTTTCCGGACACCCTGTATGTGATTTCGCTGTTACCAATAGGCAATTTTCTTAGGTTGATAATACTGTTTCTGTTATTGTGTTGTCAGATAACTCAGTAGGTGAAAAATTAAATTAGTGCCACACATTAATACTTATCTTTCATACCATTTTAGGACTTATTCATTGCTTATAAAGGGTGGTCCATTTATTGGTTTGTTTTTAAATCATTGCCTATGGCAACACTCAATGGGCTGATTTGTTTCAAATTTTGACAGATTGTCAGTCTGACCTTCCGCGGTAAGAAACTATAATATTTTAGCTTGAGGAGCCTTTCGAAATATTGAAAACTTATTTTTAAAGTTAATAATATATTACATAAGTAAATTAAAAAAATTAAAACAATTGGTTTTATAAAAAAATAATTAAAAACCATTTAAAAAAGGAAGCTGGAGGTTTTTCGGATGAAACAAGTGATCGCTTTCATTTCATGGCGGGATTAATCAAATCGAGTCGTCGTCGCATGGCGTGTAAGGCGATCCGTGGGGCACCTCCAGGGAGAAACGATGTAATAGCACACTCGGAATATACCCCCCTAAAAGAACTCATCAGCGAAGTATCCACCGACAAAACACGGGGTCCCCTCTACGCTTTTCTCCCGCTTTCGCTCACGTTTGACTATGGTTTTTTATTTTACAATGTTGCCATATTATTATTATGGGGTAACAAAAATTCAGTCAAATGACTACAAAAAAAAATGTTCAGTATTAATGCATTCATTTTCTGTATTTGATTCTTATAAATAAACCTACAATAAAAAAACTATTTTTACAGCATTTTAAAGGTTTCTTTTTCGATTAAACATATCTTCAAAGATTTTTGAATAATAAAATTCTCACATATTTGTAAAATTATATTTACTTACAGTATTTTCTTTGCAAAGAAGGAACCACACTAAGATTCTGAGCCAGTTAAAATTAGATTTTAGAAAATACTCTTTTTGGATAAGACCTATTTGTAGATATGTCTGTGTTGCCGAAGAAGAAGTGCATTAATTTTGGAGATATGTCTGTGTGGCTAAAAATATGTGCATGAATTTTGTAGATGTGTTTGTATTGCTATAAATTTGTCGATCAATTTTTTATTTATTCATTCTTCGGCAACGCCTTACACTGATTTCCCAGGGTTATTTTACCCCTCTTCAGTTCTTTTACGTATTCAGCCATTGCACAGCATTGCCTGTGTTTGTTGGATCCAAATTTTCACCCCGGCTGGTAAATCTCGCCTAGGAGATCGTGGATGACAGTGTCGATGGTTAAGGTAACTCGGAACTAGTCTAATCCGGAGTCCCCCTAAACCAGGTATTAAGTAATTACCCTATTCAATTGGGGTTCATGAATGGGGCTTGGTTGGTTAGTACGCTGCTAGGACCTATCCTTGCTGGTCTTGAAGTACTTCCTGTTCGTATGTGTCCGGGTCTCCGTCCGAATCAGTTAGTAAGTAATCTACAGATGTTTATTACTTTAGGATGAGTTTCTTTTGCCTAGTGTTTATCTGAAATTGAGTGTTTAATGACTGCTTATGTGAGCCCTTATTTATGATTTCTTTAGCTATGCTTGCTGTTTGTATGGAAACTGTTGGCGAATAATTAATTTTTACCTGGTGGAGTTCTTTATAAGTTAAGGTTGAGAATTTCGCATTAAAATTTAGTATTTGGGTATTATTAAGGTTATCCTAGGTGTTGTGAAATTATTCCTTAATCTCGACAGCCAACTATTAGCACGTGTTCTTTCTGTGTTGGTAATCCAGGAAAAATTATTCGTTGTATCCAATCACCTCCCTCAGACTCTTTTTCACATGTAGAGCACTTTGGGACTTAATCCAGGAGGAGGTGTCACACGCAATTTGCACCTTTTTTGCACTTGCTTCTGGTAGATCACGTGTAGAATTATTAATTGATTTTTTGAATTTGAACACCGATAGCGGTGGTAGCACTACGACCTTTTGGCTTAAGGTAAGGAGCGTCACTTGTTAATTATTTTATTGTTGACAACTTTAACTTTACTAACTCACGCTAACAAAATTAGTGTCACAAGTTACAGGAAACTTACTTATGACACTGTTGATGAAAATTATGATATGGATTTTGGAAAATATTTTTATGCCACTGTTGCAGCATAAACTATAAGTAATTTTACAATTATTACACTAAAAACCCCAAAATTTAGTTTTTTTGACTTATGACACTGTTGTCGCCCATGTGCGATATGTAACCAAGGTAAAATCAGTAAAGGGTCAGAAAAATGTTAGCCCAATTGCAAGATATTTTAGATGTTTGGAATATTACTTTACTTGCTTAGGAGACTGCAAAAATGATATTCCTGGTAATAATATTGTAATACGGTCATTGTGCCGATTTGCACACCGAAATAAATAAAAGTAGAAGTACTATGTTCATTCTGGACCAGTAGTACTTTCAGCCGCCGTTGGTGGCGCCACTTTAAAATAATATGTGACGTCACACGTGGGCCGCCATG